TTGGGTTTTTATGGGTTTTTTGTTTTTTTTTTTGGGTTTTTCGGGCTTCCAGGGGGTTCTCGTTTTTTTTTTTTTTCAAATTTAATTTATAGTTTCTGCCTCGGTTTCTGCTCTAGCAAAAGTGTTACAAAAATTATGGCTTTTGTAGCAAAAATAAAATATCTTTACAAAATGAAGCAAGCCACTTGATATAAATAATTACACTTGGCATCAGTGCACTGCACCATGCCTCTGACTGGCCAGCCCAGAGACTCCGTGTCATGTAGAGTTCTACATATCGACAGGATTCTATAGACACGGCACATTCGATATGTCGAAGTGTAAACTTTACATGGCACGGAGTCCCTGCCCAAACCTCCACGCCAACAGCGAACAGCCGGGGACTGAGAAATCATCGGGGAATCCCTGATATTTCCTGTGAAAAGGACGATCATTCAACTAATAATTTGCTATTTTTGAAAAAACTCAAAAAACCCCACTGGGTTTTTTAAGCTGGGGAAATTCTATGCCAACCCTGATTTCAACTCTTTTAAAAAAAGGTATATGAAAATGAAACTGCTATACGCGAATAGATATAGAGATCGAAGAAAAAACTAAATACAAAACTTGTAGATAAACATGAGTACTACATTCCTAAATTATTTTCCAGTATACAGGGTGGCCCAATAACTAGTAGTGGCACAAAGTTATGTTTTTTAAATTACTCCCCCTGTATATAATGACATTTCTGAATTCTGCAGAAAATTCTAGACATATTTCATGTACATACAATGTCATATACCTATCTTCAACTATTTCGGAAATATTGACAGTTGAAAACTGACTTTTTTGCATCTTTGACCGACTGTGAAACCTGAAGGGTTAATTTTACAAGAAAACGGATCTTACATTCCTATCTTAGTTTTTCATAAACTATCGTTTGACACAAATCTTGAATTTAATCCATGATTAAAAATTCCCCCTAAATTATTAATCTTCGGTTAAATTCAAAGTTGGTGTCGAATGATAGCCTATGAAAATCTAAGATAGGAATGTAAAATCCGTTTTCCTCTAAAAGTAAGCGTTTAGGTTTCACAGTCTGTCAAAGATGCAAAAAAGTCAATTTTCAACTGTCAATATTTCCGAAACCATTGTACATGAAATATGTCTAGAATTTTCCGCAGAATCCAGAAAAATCATAATATATAGGGGGATTAATTTAAAAAAACATAACTTTGTGTCACTAATAGTTATTGGGCCACCCTGTATACTGGAAAATAATTTAGGAATGTAGTACTCATGTTTATTTACAAGTTTCGTATTTAGTTTTTTTTTCGATCTCCGTTAGTATAGGAGATATGGATGACCGCGCTCTTAGTAACTCACCCTGTATATTAAAGTTTAAAACTAGGAAAAAATTATGTGAAGCTCTCATTATATCTATATATTCTTATTGTTTTATAGGTAACTACCCATTTTTGAATGCCGTTACTAGGAAAATAATTCAATATGTCCAAGATACTTGTAGATTTGTATATAAATTAAGAAAAATTGATCATGTTTCTGCTAATATCAAGGCATTGGGTTGGCTCAAATGTGATAATAGTTATAATTATAATATTACAGTATTTTTAAGAAAGGTAAAAATGAACAAAGAACCTATTTATTTTTATGAAAAACTTACTTTTAGAGAGGCTGTGCATATAGTCGTAATTTTTTTCCTTATAAAGCTGTAAAGTACTTTATCTACAAGCGTTTGGTTATGACGTTTTTACCTAACCATTTTTCTAGTATTTTAGTTATGTCATGAGACGCATAACATAACTAGTGGTGTTATGGACTAGGTTATGAATCTATAACACAACATGAAGGTATACAACTACTAACAAACGAAAATAATTGAAAAATCATTAATTTTTTTCGCTTTGAAGATAAAACGTTATACGTCACACGTGCGTTTAAACATGACTACAAAACTCGTGTGATAATCTTTCACACTCGTTATTGTAATCATGTTCATAAACGCACTTGTAATGTATGTAAATAACTATTTTAAAGAGCAACAGTGGCAGGTGGTTGTGTAGAACAAAACAAAAATAATACAGGTTTTAAAGACGTAACTTTTATGGCTGATAATACTGATTAAAGTGACTTTATTGTTACCTGCCTTCAACTTTATTTCTGTCTTTTAGGGAATCAACTTTATTCTTAACTTGACCGAAAATTGCATACTTAAACGGAGATTAAATTTAACTGAAATTTTTAATCATGGATTTAATTCAAAGTTGATGTCAAATGATAGTTTATAAAAATCTAAGATAGGAATGTGAAATCGGTTTTCCTCTAAAATTAACCAATTAGGTTTTACAGCTTGTCAAAGTTGCAAAAAGTCAATTTTCAACTGTCAATATTTCCAAAACAGTTGAACTTAGGTATAGGGTATATTACATGAAATCTGCTCAGAATTTTATGTAGAATCCAAAAATACATTAATATATGGGGTGTTCCATTTAAAATAACCGAGTTGGTATCAACTTCCGGTATGACCGGAAATGCCGCCATCTTGAAAATATTTTACCTAGATGTCCCCCATCGACATTGCTATGTTGCCAAATTTTCAAATTTTTACCTTTCACAGTTTTCCCATAAGCAATCGATGTCATTCCCGAAGGACCACCCTGTATAGAGGCATTTAGAAACTCATCAAGTGTATAAAAGACACGTTGAAATAGAGTGCTCCTCAAATGGCTTCGAAACCGTTAAAAATCTGATGAGATGTTTCTGATAGTACAGGGAACGAAGATATGAATGTGTTTATGTAAAAGACTGAGACCGATTCAAGTATAAAAAGACATGGCAATGTTAAGATGTTAATTTTTTTAAATAAGGGTTTGCAGGTTTCCACCGAGAAGGCACCAGCGATAAAGCGCACTGCTCGCTTCTGGAGTTTAAACACTGATTGAAACAGGTATTGGCTACAACAGCCCCAGAAAAGTAGTCCATAGAAAAGGTGGAATTGTATCAATGCAAAATACACTGAGTTTGCTACGGTTGCATCCAAATTTGTGGCCACAGCTTGGATACAGTAGCAACCAGAAGCAAGTTTCCCGCCAAGTGCAGTGACATGCGATTGGAATTTGAGATCAACGTCAAGTTGAGGTCCAAGAAATTTAGTATTTAGAGAGGATTTGATGGGGAATTCGTCACAATCAATAACAGCAACATTACATCGGAACCCAAGCACTCGAGTCTTACCAAAGTTAAAAAGCAGTCCATTTGCATCACACCTAGTGATGTGAACAAGGGAACGTTCTGATTGTGCTTTCAAGAACGTTCGCGCACGGAAAAAAGGTTCAATATTACCTTCGGAGCACGATAGAGAATATTCAGCACGTTTTCAAGCATGATCTTAACCAATAAAATCGCATGACGCCAACCCCCAGCCAATAAGATGTTTTCGAAAGTGACGTGACTCTTGCACCCAATAAAATCACTCTAATGCCGTAAGCCGTAAATCGCTGACGTGTTGACACCAATTGATGCGCTCCGCGAAAAACAGTTGTTTATTTTTTGTTGTGGTGTGGGGTGTGATAGCGTGTAAATTAAATAATACAGGTAAAGTCCGTCGATTTTAATCTGATACTCGGAAGGAATGTGAGCTGGTGCCTGGTAGCACCTTACACTAGAACGCCAATGGTCACCTGACGTCACACCTGTTTTTGCCATATATTTCACCCCCTTGCTCCTCATACGGAAAGTGTCAGATTAAAAACGACGGACAATACCTAACCTGTGCTGCACGTGCCTTCTGTGTGTTAAATTATATAGAATGCCGAGAGGAAAGTGTAATGCCTTTAACTTTTATACCATTAAAAAACGAAATGGAAACAACATTTATGCATGCAGAGATTAATTATTATATTTTCCTAAGAAGTTTGAGAATTTTCAGCATATTTATGAAGAATTTTCAGAATATTCAGAACTTTCACGAGAAATTTGGGAATATTCGGAAATTTGAAAAAAATCAGAATTTATTTAGAAAAATGTTTTCTTTTATTCAGCTGCTGATAAGAAGCGTAATTTCTCGGGTCCTGCTCGTTTTTGCTCGATTATTCTCGTTAATTCTCGATCGTGCTCGGAGAACGTTCTCCTAAAATCGAGCCTAAAATACTTGCTCGAGCATTTTACATCACTAATCACATTTAAGTCTTCGAGATCAATGTCAATTTCTAAGGCTTTTTTTACCTATAACCTCTCTCACGATGTTCCAGGTTTCCCTAGATTTATTAGCAGCATTGCTTAAACAATTAGAGTAGAATAAGTGTTTAGCAGTACGGATAGATTTCCTAAAATTTTTTAAGTGTTTTCTTATGAGATTTAAAGATCTTAAGTTAGCTACAGAAATCTTTAAGCCCTCTGTCATCTAATATTTTCGCTTACCCTGTTTACGAAGGGGCTTTATCTATGACATTACTCAGAGTAAGATGGAATTCTTGAAGAGGATCTGCCCTATAAAGGACGGATTGGCAAGGGATGTCGTTACAGGTTTGCTTAAAATGTGAGAAATTTTCCCTGCTAAATATTCGGCCTTGCTTCTTACGAATCTGAATAGGCTCAACTTTCAGGTATAATGAAGCTAAAATAGCACTGTGATTGATGTCAGGGTTGTTTTCCACTAATTTTGACCAGCTTTATTGATTTGTGAAATCAAAATTGAACATAACTAAAACCTCTAATGGATTGATTATACAGAGTGGATCCAAGATGTTTCTGTGTTTTATCCTTATTTTTTTTTTGAATTACTATAAGAACTCAATATAAACCCCTACAACTTTCCAACCAAGAATGTTTTGCCTCATCTAAATATTTACTGCTGGTACCGCCAATAAAATGCGGTACTACCTATTAAATCATCAATCAACCCGACCACTATACAAATCATTACTATAATTAATTAATTCATGCATTATGCATCTTAGTTGTTTATTGAAAACAAAACCAGCTAGTATTAATCGATAAAAATGCACAAAAGCATTATTGTCGGGTTGTTGTTATATTGGTTTAGTGAGTTCCAGTACTCAAATTCATCAGAATCAATAGTACTGTCGAACCTAGACACGCAATGTCTGAGATGTATTTGTCACGCGGCTACAGAGTGCGACTTGGCCAGAACCTGCATCCAGGGATACTGCGGCCCATTTAAAATCAGCCATATTTACTGGATCGATGCTGGCAAAGTGATATTACCCGGAGACGATATCGAAAGACCTACTGCCTACGAAGATTGCATGTTGTCGTTCAACTGCTCAATGCAAATTGTGACCAATTACATGAGCAAATTCGGCAGGGATTGCAATGGGGATGGAGTTACAGATTGCAGAGATTACATGATGGTACATTTCAATGGGGGAGGGCATTGCGAGTTGGATTTGAACAGGAAGGAGACTGGAAGAGAAGTACTGAGGAAGTACCACATGTGCGATCCAAATCCAAAGTATATTACGCAATAAAAACCCTTAAGAAATATTGTTTTATTAATTTCGGACAATCATCGTCACTAAATTGCTATTGAAACTTTAACATTGTTATTTAACTCTACCAGGCATTAAATCTATTATTATATTATGCAATTGAACATTTTGAAGTACCAAAGTGTTAATAATTACCAGTGTTGCCAACTGCGAATCAACTATTATAGTATAGAACGCTATAAAATTAAAGTACATTTGTACAAATTATAGTATCCTGCAGGAGACAGATGATCATCAATTGTAGTGGGACACACAGAGATCGAACTATTATGAAATTTTCTGGACAAAACGAGAAAAGTCAAGGGCGTATCATACTAAAATTTCAAATTTTTCAAATAAAAAATAACCCCATTGGAAATTAATGAAAATCAATTAAATTAGGCATTAATGCACCATCTTATTATTTTATTTTTTTTCTGGAAAACTATTCAAAGGAAAATTATGAAATTTTCTGGACAAAACGAAAAGAGTCAGGAGCGTATCATAGTAAAATTTCAAAGTTTTCCAGTTTAAAATAACCCCATTGGAAATTAATGAAAATCAACTAAATTTAGACATAAATATGCACCATCTAACATTTAATTTTTTTTCTGGAAAACTGTCCACGAGAAAATTATGACATTTTCTGGGAAAAAAGACGAAAGTCAGGGGTGTATCATAGTAAAATTTTAGATTTTTTCAGTGGAAAATAACCCCATTGAAAATTAATGATAATCAACTAAATTAGGCATAAATGCACCATCCAACATTTTATTTTTCTTCTGGAAAACTATTTAGGGAAATATTATGACATTTTTTGAAAAAAAGAGAAAAGTCAGGGGCGTATCATAGTAAAATTTCAAACTTTTCAAATGGAAAATAACCCTATTGGAATTTAATGAAAATCAACTAAATTAGGCATAAATGCACCATTTAACATTTTATTTTGTTTCTGGAAAACTATTCAAAGGAAAATTATGAAATTTTCTGGAAAAAATAAAGAAAGTCAGGGGCGTATCATAATAAAATTTCAAATTTTTCCAGTGGAAAATAACCTCATTGAAAATTAATGAATATCAACTAAATTAGTTTTATTATTTTTTTTTCTGGAAAACTATTTAAGGGAAAACTATGACATTTTCTGAAAAAAAAGAGAAAAGTTAGGGGCGTATCATAATAAAATTTCAAATTTTTCCAGTGGAAAATAACCTCAATGGAAATTAATAAATATCAACTAAATTGGGCATAAATGCATCATCTAAAATTTAATTTTTTTTCTGGAAAACTATTTAAGGGAAAATTATGATATTTTCTGGCAAAAAAGAGGAAAGTCAGGGGCGTATCATAGTAAAATTTCAAATTTTTCAAATGGAGAATAACCCTATTGGAAATTAATGGAAATCAACTAAATTAGACATAAATGCACCATCTAACATTTTATTTTTGGAAAACTTTTCAAGGGAAAATTATGAAATTTTCTGAAAAAAAAACGAAGAAAGTCAGGGGCATATCATAGTAAAATCTCAAATTTTTCCAGTGGAAAATAACCTCATTGGAAAATAATGAATATCAACTAAATTAGGCATAAATGCACCAGTTAACATTTTATTTTTTTTCTGGAAAACTATTCAAGGGAAAACTATGACATTTTCTGGAAAAAAAGAAGAAAGTCAGGGGCGTATCATAGTAAAATTTCAAATTTTTCCAGTGGAAAATAACCTCAATGGAAATTAATGAATATCAACTAAATTAGACATAAATGCACCATCTAACATTTTATTTTTTTTTTTCTGGAAAACTATTCAAGGGAAAATTATGACATTTTCTGGAAAAAAAGAAGAAAATCAGGGGTGTATCATAGTAAAATTTTAAATTTTTCCAATGAAAAATAACCTCATTGGAAATTAATAAAAATCAACTAAATTAGACATAAAGGTCTTATCGAGTTCTTTACGGTCCTAGAATTTCGTCCCATTATTTTCATCCGTAACGAAATGACAGCTTGTCAAAAACTTGAAAATAGACTATGGTCTTCAGTAGGAGTAAAAGTGATACTTACCTCCCTTCATAAAAATACTTGAAATTGAAGTTTTTATTATTATTGTTAATTAGGTGTATACATGAATTCTAAATTGTGAGTATTTTCACTAAGGAAAATAAGTACCTAACGCTATTACTCCTACTAAAACAATAGTCACAGAATACATATCCTTACGGATAGAAGGCAAACTGCCTAATAAAATTTTGGGGAACAATGCGCCGTCACGGCGCGGTGGATGCGATCCGAACTATTTATAATAAAGGTTTCTGTAATCAAATCAGCTTTCAAAATAGTTCTTCCAATGTCAATATTTTTAATATTAGATTTGTTCGGACTTCAGTTCAGAATTGAACTATGCTTTCGCATTTTGTTACATAGGTTTGATATGACCAAATGCGCAAGCGCAGTCCAATTTAGAACTGATTTTGAACTGAAGTCCAAACAAACCTTTTTCCTCATTATTGAATATTGACGGATTTTTCTTCCGAGTAGAGCAAAAACGGCCAAACTTCTTGTGTTTTGTATAAAATCTGATTTTTTTTTTGAATTTAGGAAACATTTATCTGGATTAAAAATGCACACTAACACCAAGACGAATTCTCATTCAGAACTATTTTGAAATATTTTTTTACCTACGAGCGTGCGGTAAAGTGCACTTTACCGCACGTATTTGCAAATGGAAAGTAGCACTTTACCGCACACTATGCGGTAAAGTTAACTTTACAGCATAGTGTGCGGTAAAGTGAACTTTACAGCATAGTATGTAGGTAAATAACTATTTAAACATAGATAACAGGTAAACTGCCAAAGTAAACTGTGACATATTTTTTGGTGGCGTTCATTCCGCACCTGTACTTCTGTTTCACTCCAGCGTCCCCAAGCGGATGCGATCCGAAGCTTTTTTTTAGGCCCCGCCCTCCATTAAGCTTTTTTTTCTATCCGTGAGGATATGTGTTCTGTGACAATAGTCTATTTCCAAGATTTTGACAAGCTGTCATTTCGTAACGGATAAAAATAATGAGACGAAATTTTAGGGTCATAAAGACATAGACTATGATATCTATCTATCTATCTATATCTATGATAAAGAATTCAATGAGACCTTCAAAGAGAGGTATGACACGAACTTCAAATGTCTCACATGCGAAAATGGAGAACTTTGCGTTCGAATGGATATCGGCCGTATGAAATCTATATACCTAAGCCAAAAACTTCTTCCGGGTCCGGGTGATGATGATTATCTTTTAATGTGTGGATAGGAATGTGGCGAAACAAAATTCTCGGTCCTGTAATATACGAAGGTATTTTAACCTCAGAAAGGTATATTGAGTTGATACTGAACCCTATTCTGGAACAATTAGAAGAGGAGCCTTTGAACATTTTAAGAAAGCTGTGGTGGCACCAGGATGGGTGCTCCTCCTTATAAATGCAGGAATAGTATCAAATTTTAGAACGTTTCTGAATCAATGGATGGGTAATCGGGGACCTGTGCGTTGGCCTGCTAGAAGTCCAGACCTGAATTCTCTGGATTATTTCCTCTGAAAATATATTGTTAGTTTTAAAAATTGACTTTTTAGCGTAAATTATTGTGTTAAACGGTTAAACAAAGATGGGTATCTAAATACTTATTAACTTGGATATTTTCATAGATGCCAATAATTTTTTAATTGTTGTAATAGGTATGTCATTCCTTTGAGGTAGTAACAAGCTACCAAAAAATGGAATAACAAATCGAGGTCCATAGTTAAAAAAAAAAAGTTGATGATGGCCGCCCGAAGACGAAACGTCGAATCTGAAATTTGACGAAGTGATATTTATTTTAAAATTGCTCTTCAAATAGACTCGAAAAAATTAAAATGATTTGGCAAATTTTCGGTTTTTTCCGAATATCTTCGGAAGTATCAGGAACTTTCCAAATTTCAAAACGGCATTTTATTGGTCATAAAATTGCGCAACTTTGCCATAATTTAACCGACCTTGTATCTCTTATAGTTTCCGATATCTCAATGGTCACCCTCGAATTTGAATTTGGGACACCCTGTATAGTTAGGTCACCAATAGCTTAGTTTTTTTTTTTTTTTTAATGATGATGGACTTAAATTACATGTGCCTCTCTAGGGAGTCACGGGACCTTGTCGTTGGTGGAGAGGCTCAGCGGCCGTACGTCGCTGCAGAGTTGTGGAGATGTTTGGTCGTGACCAAGGGTGGCTCACCAAAGCACACACACAGCATCCTGGTATGCTGGGTGTCTGCTAGACAAACAGCGTGGAGGAGGACACTCGACTCGGCCTCAGCCCGCAATCTGGGTCTCGCGGCCCTGTTTCGGGATGGGGCCGAGTCGACTGCCCTCCGTGGAAACCTGCCTGGTATATCTCGCGCTCTAAAATCGGTGGTTGATAAGGAAGTATCTTAGGGCGTGAGGGCCTGCCTTAACTGGCCAGCTAAGTGAAAGGCGAACCACAATAAAAATCCCTCCAAGTCACGGTGGAACAGTATAGGCCAAGGACTGCGTGGTTAGGGGAAAGCCTAATCGATACTATGCGAACTCCAGGGATGTGGCGACCCCACGGCTTAACTAGCCCGACCGGGGCAAGCGAGGCTCTGCCTCGGCCGTATGGTTTACTTCCCTAGCTACTCGTGGGACCTAACATGGACTCACAACAAAAAACAATCAAGGCGAAGGATGATAGCGCCTCAAGCACATCCGAAAACATGGAATTAGGGGACTGTAAAAGCCCCACTGGCGTAGAAGAAGAACTTCTACGTTCAGGCGAAGAGCTCGGCAAAGATCTGAGTGCCATACAACTGAAGCGTGACGTGAGGATCAGGCTGAGTGGCGCTGCCAGAAAGAGGATGAAATTCCTCAAAAAAAAAGGGATGAGTGCAGACGAAGCCCGCAAAAAAGCCCTTGAGCCATTCAAAGAAAGGGCTAAAACCTCTGACAAGGGCGAAAAAAGAGCCCGGTCAGAAGGAAACATCCCCGAGGCTCAAGCGAAAAAAAGAGCTAGGACAAGGGATACGGGCAGAAATGCCCCGCCCATAAAAAAGAAGGAAACGAGCAGCAGTGCTCCGCCTTCCAGAGTTCCAAAACCAACCTTCAGCCAGATAGCTGGAGGCATAAAGGTAGGCATACTACCTACAGACTTCCCCAATTGTCTTTTCTCAGTGGGGCAAATTCAAGCCACCAAATTATGGACAAGATCGTGGACGAGGTAGCATCGGATTGCTCGGTCAAACCGAAGTTTCTGAGCGCTCACAACAGACCCGGCTGGCTCGCTCTAGTTTGCGAAAACATAGCCACCAAGCAGTGACTGCAAACTGCAATCGCCTCCATCAAGCCTTGGGAGGGAGCTTCCCTGAAGATGGTAGAGGAATCTGACATTCCTCACTCTGACGTCCTGGTTGCTCGATTCTCAAGCAGCATGGATTAGTCCACGGAGAAAATCCTCAATCTTGTTCAAGGCCAAAATGAGGGCCTAAACATCAAAAATTG